CCCCAAAACCCCAAAACCCCAAAACCCCAAAACCCCACAAGAAATAGGATGAATTGAAACTAATGTAAAATATTAAATTTTGCTAGTGAATAATGGCTTGTAAGCATCTCTAATAAACTCTTGGTCTATCTCATGCGAGAGCGCATTCTCTAATACTTCATCAATCTTAGTTCAAAATCTAATTTCTAGAGCTTCTTTTACATCATCCGGAAGATCTTGAGCGTCTAATCTATTTTCCTCTGGAAGGAGAACTAGCTTAATTCCACTCTGCATAGCTGCGATTCACTTCTCTTTGATTCCGCCAACCGGGAGGACATCCCCATGCAAAGATATTTCTCCTGTCATTGCAATAGAATCCTTCACTCTTCTATTGGTAAACAATGAAACAAGAGCAGTTGTGATAGTCACTCCAGCACTCGGACCATCTTTCGGGATGGCAGCAGCGGGAAAATGTCAATGAACGTCATATTTTGAAAAGGATATTGCTTTATAGTCTCCTTCATTAATATAATCTTCTTCAAGGATGTCAAAATCTTGCGGATTTGTATAGCTCTTTTCCTGAATTAGTCCTAACCTTATGGAATTGGTCTTAATCCAGCTCAAGGCAGTGGCTACGCTTTCTTTCATGACATCACCTAGTTTCCCGGTTAATTTTAGCTTTCCGTTTCCAGGGTATTTAGAAGTCTCTATGAGAAGTGATTTCCCTCCAACAGAAGTATAGGCAAGACCAATGGCTAATCCTGGCCTGCTGATCTTTTTGTTCAGAATAAAGTTAAATTTTGGATTCCCAAGAGCCTTGATGATAAGCTCTTCGTCAACATCAATCTTCTCAAATCCGTCTCTCTGCTTAGTTATAGCGTATTTGTAAGCCACAGAGCGGCAGATACTTCCCATACATCTATCAAGATTTCTTACTCCACTTTCCATGGTGTATTCTTTGACCACTTTGGTGACCATTGGTTTGGAAAAGCTGATTATCTGATCACTAATCCCGTTTGCTTCAATTTGTTTTGGGATGAGGTAATTCATTGAGATCTGAACTTTCTCCTTTACTGAATACCCACTGATATCAATTACCTCCATTCTGTCCAATAGAGCTGGATGGATAGTCTCGAGGTTATTTGAAGTAGCTATGAACATTACTTGTGAGAGGTCAAATGGGGTGGCCAAGTAGTGATCGGTGAACTTGGTATTCTGCTCAGGGTCTAGTACCTCAAGCATTGCACTGCTAGTATCTCCCTTCCAATCTTGTCCAATTTTGTCTATTTCATCTAAAAGGAAGACGGGATTGTTTGTATTCACTTTCTTCAGAGATTGGATAATGACACCAGGAGTTGATCCAACATAAGTTCTTCTAAAGCCCCTAATCAAGCTTTCGTCTTTGATTCCTCCCAAGGCTATACGGTAGAACTTCCGACCAAGTGCTTTAGCAATCGATTTACCGAGGGAAGTTTTTCCTACACCTGGAGGGCCATTGAAGCATAAGATAGTACCCTTATGATCATCCTTTAATTTTCTTATGGCAAGGAACTCAACTATCCTTTGTTTAACTTTTTCAAGTCCGTAGTGGTCTTCATCAAGAATTATCTGAGCATTTTTAGGGTCTAGGTTCTCCTCCTGGCTTTTATTCCAAGGAAGTTCAGCAAGAGTTTCAAGATATTTCTCAATATTACCATACTCATGATGGGAAGGCTGCATTCTTGATAAGTTCTTGAGCTCTCTCACCACGATAGTTTTTGCTTCTTCAGGTAGATCTAATTTTTCGAACTTTTCAAGAAGCTCTTGGATGGCTTCTGTGTTATCAGCACCACCTTTCTTCATGCGAGGGCGCTTTGTCTTCACTCCTTGGTAGAGGTCGGTGAGTCCAACATTATCAAGATTTAACTTTTTCATCTGATTCTTTTTCCTCTTTTCATTATTCTCTTCGGTAATGTTGATCTCTGTTTTTAAGTGATTGATTCAATTGACGATCCTTTCCTTCAGGGAATTAGTCTCTAGAAGCTTGTACTTGGCTTCATTGCTAGTCATGAACAGGAGAGAGCATCACCTGAAAGATAAGTCGGTGATATTCAGACAATTTTGAATGGCTTTGGCTTTTTGCTGAAGCACAGAAGATACTCCGATACCAAGACGAGGGATAGTTCAATACTTGATAGCGAGAGTCCGAAGAGTCTCGTCTAGCTTAGTCTCTTTGACCTCTTGGATCTCTTCTTCATTCTCATTCTCATCGAGATATTGCACCTTAGCATTGATCACCTGGGAGGATTTCTCGAAGGCTGAGAAGTCGGTGACTAGAAAAAGTCCGATTTGTTAAGAAACACTTTTAATTTGAAATCAAATCACATAAATTTGTGTTTTATAGAGGTCAACACTTACTTTCTTGTCAGATTATAATTCTCTTGGTACATTCTACAACAAAATCAGTGTAGTTTTTGACAAATGGAGATCTCTCTGTCAAGCTTTCCTCCTTCACGATATTTACCATGACTCCCATTTGATTGGGGTATGTAGAATTCTTTGTGCTGCTATAAGAGATAAATTATTAATTTTCAGGAATTGTTAATCTTAAATCAAGACTAATCAACAGGATACATGGCCAGAAGCAAAGTTTGCCCATGAAACTAGGATTTAAAATTGATGAAATCATGACATCTTAAGCCGTTCATACCTTGCCAGAGGAGTTGAATTTGTTCAAAAGATGCCAAATACATCTCCTTGGTAATTCTTGAATACAGAATTTGGGTCATCAGTCTTTATCCGAAGTCTTTGTGATGGAAAATACACACTGTCTACCATCACAATCTGTAGATCAGCCTCTTCACCTTTAAGTGTAGTCATTTCTTTTCCTTTTGAGTCTATAATTATTCAACCGGCTCTTATCACCTCGGGGTTTTGGGGTTTTGGGGTTTTGGGGTTTTGGGGTTTTGGGG